ACACATCAATTTATATTGCAGAGATCCCGATTGTCCATTACAATTATTGCACAGATCTCATAGGTGGCTACATATAGCATGGAACATAGTGCATGTGAAAAGTTGTAAATTCATACAAAATGTTGCCACAACAAACGACGGCTAACATTGAGGCAAAATCTGTATAAGTTTACACCTTTCCACGCAAAGCGAGGTTCGGAAGAGATGCGGGAGAAGGGCAAGACCCTTTTCCCTGCGGGGAGCGCAGTTTTTTCTGCTTATACGCTTACAATACGAACAAAAAGAACATAAAAAAAAGTAACGAAATATATATAGGGTTGTAAGAGCCGATCGCAGGATGTTTGTGCAGATATATGCATGTATACATATATATGTATGAATACATATACGTATTTACAATTAAATTTTTACAAGTGAGTTTTTTTAAATTAGTTTGGAAGTTATTCGGGGTCCTTCATACATCTGATGCAATCCTAGCATCTATATGAATTTAAGAATTGAAATCTCAATTCAAAAAACTCACTTGTAAAAATTTACTTGTGAACACGTAATGTATTCATATATCCGTACAAACATCCTGCGATCGGCTCTTACATCCCTATACATATTTCGTTAAATTTTCAAGGAGCTTAAAGACTCTTTATTAAGTAATAAAAAAAGTAGTCTTCTTTTAATATACGCATGATTTTTGTGCAAACGGAGTCTAGACAAACGGGATCTGTGCAATAGTCGATTTGCACAAAAGAAATCTTAGTAATTGGTGCCTTGCCGTTATTTACATTTAATTAATATTATAACTTTGTTTTCTTTCTTTATTTTCTGTTCTGCGCACATAATTTTTCCGCACTTTACTTTCATTCACATGTTTGCTTTTCTTACAATGCGTCCGAAAAGCTACGTAAGAGACAAAAGTATATTTTCCCACTCTTTGTCTAGTCAAAACTTTTGTAATTTTTTTGCATATTTCAGATGTATGTTGAAATATTTCTTTAGAAGGCATGTATAAAAAAAAACCTAACACTTCTCTATTTAACGTTTCACTCCGATTACGACTAAAAGGAAGAGATTAAGAAATTAGATTAAGACTAAAAGGAAGTCAATTGGCTCAGCAATTGTTGAGATATGATGAATCTTAAATTTGTTAAATTGAAGAAACCGTCTGACTCGCGTAATGAGTCACGTCCGGTCTTGCTTCGCGTGAACTTGGCGCGAGGCACCGTGTTTCTTGATTATTAAACCTAAAAATAATTTTTCTACATAAAAAAAAAAAAAAAAACATACGGCGCGGAGAGTAGATTCTGAGAAATATAATTAGTAGTTACACAGAGAGAACGGTTTCTTTAGATTTAACAAATTTTGTTCAATCCAAATAAATTATTTTATTGGAATAGTCCAAACAACCTTGATTTTGAACTAAACATTCCGAATGTATGAATTTCAAAGTATTTTGTTAAGTTAAATAAATCTAGATCTTCAATAAAAAAACTTTTTCGCGGCACACAACTTCGAGATTTTAGTCGAAGTAATCTTTGGAGGTCCGATTCAGCTTGCCAATCAACCGGTGAACTTCATTGAAAGAGACTGGACCTGAAAAAATCTTAAGGGGAATTCGAACTCAAGACGCTTCTGTTGTATTCGCAGCCCCTGCACTTAGTCCGCAAGACTACTTGTTCCTTACCAAAATGTGATTATTTTTATCTACTTATTCTAAAGCTATCCTATACGCATTTCATTTATTATTTCTTTAAATTATTATTTTCTTAAAAATATTACAGTGCAATGTATCCAATAATGTAATAACAATTAATAATTAGTTAGGGGGGTATCCGGGGTCTTTCATATGTGAGATGCAAATCTAGCATCCCGTATGATTTTAAGAATTGAGAATTCAATTCGAAAAACTCACTTGTAAAAATTTACAAGTAAATTC